GTATGGACCAGTTTGGACTGGTGGGATCCCAGTATCCCCAAAGTGCCTCCCCAGTTCTCGTCCGCCCCCGCGGCCGCTGGCCGGTTGGAACTGGTTAGAACCAGTATAGACCAGTATAGACCAGTATAGACCAGTATAGACCGGTATGGACCAGTATAGACCAGTATAGACCAGTAGGGACCAGTCTGCACTGGTGGGATCCCAGTACCCCCATGGCAGCTGCCGACCGGTTAGAACTGGTTAGAACCAGTTAGAACCAGTATAAACCAGTTAGAACCAGTATAGACCAGTATGGACCAGTATAGACCAGTATAGACCAGTATGGACCAGTATGGACCAGTTTGGACTGGTGGGATCCCAGTATCCCCAGAGTGCCTCCCCAGTTCTCGTCCGCCCCCGCGGCCGCTGGCCGGTTAGAACCAGTTAGAACCAGTATAAACCAGTTAGAACCAGTATAAACCAGTATAGACCAGTATGGACCAGTATAGACCAGTATAGACCAGTACGGACCAGTCTGCACTGGTGGGATCCCAGTACCCCCATGGCAGCTGCCGACCGGTTAGAACCGGTTAGAACCAGTTAGAACCAGTATAAACCAGTTAGAACCAGTATAAACCAGTACAGACCAGTACAGACCAGTATAGACCAGTATAGACCGGTATAGACCGGTATAGACCAGTATAGACCGGTATAAACCAGTATAGACCGGTATGGACCAGTATAGACCAGTATAAACCAGTATAGACCAGTATAAACCAGTATAAACCAGTATAGACCAGTATAGACCAGTACGGACCAGTCTGCACTGGTGGGATCCAAGTACCCCCATGGCAGCTGCCGACCGGTTAGAACCAGTTAGAACCAGTTAGAACCAGTATAAACCAGTTAGAACCAGTACAAACCAGTACAGACCAGTATAAACCAGTTGGAACCAGTATGGACCAGTACGGACCAGTACGGACCAGTTTGGACTGGAGGGATCCCAGTACCCCCAGTTCTCGTCCACCCCCACAGCCACTGCCAACCAGTATGAACCAGTTAGAACCAGTATAAACCAGTATGGACCAGTATAAACCAGTACAGACCAGTATAAACCAGTACAGACCAGTTAAAACCAGTATGAACCAGCACGGACCAGTTAAAACCAGTAGAAACCAGTTAAAACCAGTAGAAACCAGTTAAAACCAGTATGGACCAGTTGAAACCAGTGTGGACCAGTAGAAACCAGTACAGAGCTGGGATCTCCCCATGATTTCCCAGTTCATCCCAGTTCATCCCAGTATATCCCAGTTCATCCCAGTTCATCCCAGTAACTTCCCAGTTCACTCCCAGTCCCTCCCAGTTCCCTCCCAGTGCTCCCAGTTCAAACCAGTGTCCCCAGTTCCCTCCCAGTCCCTCCCAGTGCCCCCAGTTCACCCTCCCAGTACAAACCAGTTCACCCTGATCGCCGCCCACTCACCCCAGTCCCGCCCAGTTCCTCCCAGTTCCTCCCAGTTCCTCCCAGTTCATCCCAGTTCCTCCCAGTGTCCCCAGTTCACCCCTGGCTCCATCCCAGTATGGCCCAGTGAGCTCCCAGTTCAAACCAGTTCCCTCCCAGTGCTCCCAGTTCAAACCAGTTCACCCCCAGTTTGTTCCCAGTTCCTTCCCATTCCATCCCAGTCCCTCCCAGTTCACTCCCAGTGCCTCCCAGTCTATCCCAGTTTGTTCCCAGTTCCCTCCCAGTGCTCCCAGTTCACCCCTGGCTCCCTCCCAGTATGGCCCAGTGTCCTCCCAGTGTTCCCAGTTCAGCCCAGTTCATTCCCAGTTCACCCCCAGTTCAGACCAGTGCTCCCAGTTCATCCCAGTTCATCCCAGTTCACCCCCCATTTGTTCCCACTTCCCTCCCAGTGCTCCCAGTTCAAACCAGTTCAGTCCCAGTGCTCCCAGTTCAAACCAGTTCATTCCCAGTTTGTTCCCAGTTCCCTCCCAGTGCTCCCAGTTCAAACCAGTTCATTCCCAGTTTGTTCCCAGTTCCCTCCCAGTGCTCCCAGTTCAAACCAGTTCAGTCCCAGTGCTCCCAGTTCATCCCAGTTCACTCCCAGTTCAATCCCAGTGCTCCCAGTTCACTCCCAGTTTGTTCCCAGTTCACTCCCAGTGCCCCCAGTCTCTCCCAGTACAAACCAGCAGCTCCCAGTTCTTCCCAGTTTGCTCCCAGTGCCCCCCAGCCCAAACCAGCCCAAACCAGTATAAACCAGTATAAACCAGTACAAACCAGTACAAACCAGTGGCCAGCAGCAGCCCACCAGTGCCCCCCATCCCAAACCAGTACAAACCAGTATAAACCAGTACAAACCAGCAGCTCCCAGTGCCTCCCCAGTGCCCTCCCAGTGCCCCCCAGCCCAAACCAGTATAAACCAGTATAAACCAGTACAAACCAGTGGCCAGCAGCAGCAGCGGCAGCAGCCGCTCCATCGGGAGGAGGAGGAGGGTGAGGAAGGAGCGGCGGCCTCCGAATCCCAGTTCAGACCAGTTCAGCCCAGTCCCCTCCCAGTTCCCTCCCAGTTAATTCCAGTCCCCTCCCAGTTCCCTCCCAGTTCCTCCCAGTTAATTCCAGTCCCCTCCCAGTTCCTCCCAGTTAATTCCAGTTCCCTCCCAGTTCAGCCCAGTTCATCCCAGTTCAGCCCAGTTCAGCCCAGTGCCTTTCCCAGTCCCTCCCAGTTCCTCCCAGTTAATTCCAGTTCCTCCCAGTCCCTCCCAGTTCAGCCCAGTCCAGCCCAGTTCCCCCTGCAGGGCCTCCCAGTTCACTCCCAGTTCATCCCAGTCCCCTCCCAGTTCAGCCCAGTTCCCCCTGCAGGGCCTCCCAGTTCAGCCCAGTTAATTCCAGTCCCTCCCAGTTCCCTCCCAGTTCCCTCCCAGTTAATTCCAGTCTCTCCCAGTCCCTCCCAGTTCCTCCCAGTCCCTCCCAGTTCATCCCAGTTCACCCAGTTCCTCCCACAGCCCCAAAGTGCCCTTTCCAGTTTAGCCCAGTTCCGCCCAGTGCCCTTCCCAGTTCCTCCCAGTTCCTCCCAGTACCCTCCCAGTTCATCCCAGTTCATCCCAGTGCTCTCCCAGTTTGCTCCCAGTTCAATTCCACTTCCCTCCCAGTGCTCCCAGTTTGTTCCCAGTTCCTCCCAGTCCATCCCAGTTCCCTCCCAGTTCATCCCAGTTCCTCCCAGTACCATCCCAGTGCCTCCCAATTCATCCCAGTGTGGTCCCAGTTCACCTCAGTCCCTCCCAGTCCATCCCAGTTCCCTCCCAGTTCATCCCAGTTCATCCCAGTTCATCCCAGTTCAAACCAGTGCCCCGAATGCACGGGCAGGGCGACAGGGGGCGCTAAGCGGCCACTTCCGGGACTACAACTCCCGTCGTGCCCCGCGCCCCATAGAGGTATGTTACGTCCGGGACTACAACTCCCGTCGTGCCCCGCGGCGGCCTTCCCGCGCTCCTTAAAATTACCCCAGTCCCTCCCAGTCCCCTCCCAGTTCCTCTCAGTTCCTCCCAGTCCCCTCCCAGTCCATCCCAGTTCCCCCCAGTTCATCCCAGTCCATCCCAGTTCCCTCCCAGTCCATCCCAGTTCCCTCCCAGTCCATCCCAGTCCCTCCCAGTCCCTCCCAGTCCATCCCAGTTCCATCCCAGTTCATCCCAGTTCATCCCAGTCCCTCCCAGTTCATCCCAGTCCCTCCC